TCGCTAACTTATCACTTTCTTTTGGGAAGTGTGTGCAGGTGATGGCCGGTGAGCATGATAATGGCGTGGTGAACCCCGAGCGCCGCGGTCACTTGTAATGGGCAGCGTGAAACTGGTTTCCCTCACAATTGCTTGCAGCCTATAAGACGTTTTAATCATTTTTTTTTCTTTTTTTTCACTGACATCGAAACTTGCGTTGCGCTCATATATACAAATAAACTCAGCTCATATTGTATGCAGCTGCTGTACGTGGTGCTATTCCGAATCTAGGACGCTTTAGTTTTAAACAAAAAACACTGACTAATACGTGGGGTCATAATAGTTAGTAAATAACAGAAATGCCCAAGTAAAAATAGAAAAATTAAAAATGGGAAGAATGCCTTCCAAGTGGGTTAAATAAAAAATGTCACAATTTCTTTGGGAATTGTGAATGTTAAAATGTTAAATTGTTTGAAAGCTGGTACTTTGTAATCCACTGTGGGATTCATTGGAAAAGAAAGTGTTACAATGCGAACATAGTTGACAATTATGTAGAAATAAGTACAGTCAGCGTCAAAAATATGCATACCTACATACCTTGACGTTTTGACTGATTTTATTTATTTATATTTTCCACATCAACTTTATCTTATTTTTTTTTATAAAAATATAGTTTATTCAACAGCAAAAACCACAAGAACCAGTTTTTTTTTTATTTCATACAGATCTTTGCAAAACGAATGAAATTTTCATCGAAATTTTTAATTTTTCAATTCGATTATCTAGAAAAGTTTCGAGTATGCAATTTTGTAGCCAATTCAATTTTAAGTTTCCAGGCGCTAAATATTACCATTGATTTTTGAGACTTTTTTTTCGCTGTGAAGGGTCGCCCTCTTCTTTCATATAATGTCAATGCCCTAGACATAAGGCAGAAGTTGCACGCTCCTTTAAAATATTGTCCATGAGCGGTTCAGTTCTGCAGCAGATTAAAGGAATCACATGAAAGGGGGTTCGCCCTATCTGACACCCGTTTGGTAGCAAACGGCGCGGAGAGGTCTTTCCCAATTATAACGGAGCTGATGGTATTGCTCAACGTCATTTTACCCAGCCGTATCACTTTCGAGGGAATGCCAAATCCAGATATCGCGGCAACTCCTTTTAGTGCTGTCGAAAGCGGCTTTAAAGTCGACAAATAGGCTGGTCTTTTCCAAGATTTGGCGTATTGTGAATACGTAATCTATGGTGTAGGTGCTAGGCCTAAATCAACACTGATAAGGCCCAATCAGTACGTTGACGGTGGGCTTCAGTCGTTCACATAATACGCTCGATAAGACCTTGTAACCTATGCTTAGAAGGCTGATCCCGCGGTAGTTGGCGCGAATGGCGGGGTTGCCTTTCTTATGGCTTGGGCAGAGCACACTAAATTCTAGTCGTCGGGTATGCGTTCATCATGCAACTTATCAACTCCTCGCTGCCGTACTTGAATAGCTCAGCTAAGAGGCTGTCAGTTCCAGCAGCTTTGTTGTTTTCCAGTCGGGTGGTGGAACATCGACTCCGTCATCTCCGCCTGGGGGCTCCATTCGGTTGGGTTGAAAACTGTTCGCTCCATAATTTACATACATACATACATACATACATACATATGCATCCACCTACTCCCGTTTTATGACAGCGAACGGCCTATTAAACTAAAGCTACTAAATACTAGCCAAGCCAACCTAGCTATGCTTATTACTAATTGACTTTCTAATTAACTTACAGATAATAAAAAATAATGGAATGTTACGCGAGTAAAATTCGCTTCTTGCATTTCGCCATACATAGCTGTGGCGTTGGTTGGCTTAGGCGCTGGCTAAAGCTTTGCGGAAATTCCACACATAAAAACACTCAAACTTAAGTTATCTACTTACATATAGACCGTATGCAAATTGAAGTTTATTTGTAAATTTGTCAGTGCAAAAAGACAAGTATTTGTACACATATCCTTTTATAAATACGAGTAGGTATATTCGTACTTAAATATGTACAATCTATACAGTATGTATATTCACATATCTCGCATTCAGTATTTGCCAATTTAGCTGTGAATAATTTTGTGGCAAGCAAACACTGTGCGGAATATTAATGAGTTTCTTTTGTAAAATCGTTCACGCAAATAAAAAATGTTTTTTTTTGTGTTTTACAAGTATTTGGGTTTTTTTTTTTTGATATGTAAATACACAAAAATGCATCTAAATTGCGATAAATTGATCTGTGGTGCTGTGTATGGCGATTTTTATTTATTACTCGTACAGCCAAAAAAAAATTTAAATTTTTGTGTGTTAAGTGTTTTTGTTTTAAATATAATTTTTATATGATTTTTTTTTTTATATGTAAATACACAAAAATTCATTTAAATTGCGATAAATTGATCTGCGGTGCTGTGTATGGCGATTTTTGTTTATTACTCGTACAGCCAAAAAAAATTTAAATTTTTGTGTGCGCTGAACTCTGATATTTACATTAAGTGTTTTTGTTTTAAATATAATTACTAATTTAATACAGAGCAGCCGGTTTGATGTACAAGAAACAAGTAAATTGAATTGGAATTATGAACCCAAAAGCAATAAAAAAGATAATTAAAAAAAAAGAATAAAAAATAAAAAATGTTAG